CAGGCGCGGTGGCACAAGTGGTTAAGGTCCTCACCTTGCACGCCCGGGATCCCATATGGGCGCCGGTTCTAATCCCTGCAGCCCTGCTTCCCTTCCAGCTCCCTGCCTGTGGCCTGGGAAAGCAGTCGAGGACGGCCCAAAGCTTTGGGAACCTGCACCCATGTGGGAGACCCGGAGGAGGCTCCTGGCTTCGGATCGGCATAGTATCGGCCCGTTGCGCTCACTTGGGGAGTGAATCATTGGACGGAAGATCTTCCTCTCTGTCTCTCCTCTCTGTATATCCGCCTTTCCAATAAAAAAATAATAAAAATAAATCTTGAAAAAAAAAAAGAAGAACAGCGAGTCTGGTTGTTCTGATTATTCCCCAAATGGTCAATTATACAAATGCTGCATAAAGTTTTTTCCTCTAATCAACTAATGAGATTGAAAAACTTGCAATTATTTAAAATAATCTTATTCATTCAATAGGTAGCTTTTATAAAATAAGAATATACTTTAGGTTTCTTTAAAACAAGAGTATGTATCATAAATACTGGTTAAAGAAGATAATTACATTCAGACAGCTTTTTAAAAATGAGGACTTTAGGGTTTTATGAATATAATTCCTGATTTTTAACTTTCAGGTGACTATCCTGTAAAAAAGATTTTCTTTGTTAAGTTTTATGCAAATAATAACTGTATCAATACACGTTTATTCCAAGTTCAGTCCCAGTGTTATCTTCTGAATCCTGTCAAAACCAACCTCACTGAGAAATCCAGAGCCCTCAAGGTCTTTACCAGGTCAGCATTGTCAGCCCATGGCCCTTGGTGGGGAAGTCCTTAACTCCTCCTTCAGTCTTGAATAAAAAGCACCATGTTGTCAACATTTTTAACAGGATGAATCCACTGATGAAAAAACAATTTTCCTAGATCCTTCTTTACTGACAACAAGATATACAAAGCTAAGAAGCTTTAGCTAAAATACTGATCCAGAAATAATTTCCTTAGGTGATTTTGGAAACTGGGTATATATATATGTATATAGTTCACCATACTTAAGTGATAGCATGATAAAACTAAAAAAAAAAAAGCAAACCCTGATACCAATTAGTATACTTTCCTATATATGTGAGTTAGCAGATAAGTTAAATTCTAAGCCAACTGTAATAGGTTTGTACCCTAAATGTGTTTGAGATACTTCTAGTTAAAAAATAATAATAAAAAAAAACTTCATATAAATCTTTTACACAGCACATTCAAATTCCATTAAGCTCTTTATCATCAGGCCAAGGGTACCAGACTTGCTTCTGCGTACTTGCAAAGAGGACTATTCTGGATCCCTGGCAGGTAATTCACAGTATGCAACCTTGCCTAGCCGCAGCACAGGAAGTCCTGAACCAAGGCACTTGGGAGGCCTAGGGCAATGCAGTCATCTCCCAGAGAGATCACTTCACTCAGAGAACCCAATGCAATGACTGGTCAATGTCTGCACTTATATAATCACGTAATGACGTGCCTTCAGGGAAAGACAACTTAACCTCCAATCCTTTTTCTAAAGATCAACACTTTTTAGTAAATGTCCAGTCATGCATTTCATGTTCCTCTTTCCTCCCCCCAAAAAGCAAAAGCTACCACCCATAAACAAATAGCTCAATTTCCAAACCCTCTGAGTATGCAAATTTGGAGGACAGGAAAGGGTAAAGGCCGACAGACTGAATGGCATGCCACGACTGCCAACTCATAACTTACTGCTTCATCTACCTTCACTTTCTCTCCCTCCATCCACCCTGCCCCATTCCTCTGTAACAGCACTTCTCTTTCCCTCCTTCCTTTTAGGAACAGCTGCAGCACAGGGTAGAGAGGCATCTAACATTTCACCAGCCAAACGGCTGTGAGGATACCTGTGAAGCAAAGGTAAGCTTTTCTGTGGTTTGACACCAGAAAAGGGAGTTTCATCAGCAGGCACTGCAACAAAAATAGTTGTTGACAACTTAATTGCTTCATAGTGAGGTAACCAAAAATGAGAATTTGCATTGTTACATAATCCTATCCATCTCCTCTTGGAGCCAATGTTCTTCACTGTGATAGAGGAATGGAACATGTTAAACAGGGAAAGGGAGAAGGGGAACAGTTTGGGCAGCGTGAGAAGGTAGCTGTTATTTTTCACAATGAACAATTTAATTCCTGCCAAATATAATTATGTAATGTTGGCATCTTTATGAGAATTTTAAAACTGAAAGAGTCCTTATAGACCATCTGGTTCTCTCATCTTACAGGCAAGAAAATAAAAATTAAAGCCCAAGATCAAGCAGTTATTTGATGACAGAACTGGGACATCCAATCTAGTACATCAAGTATTTTGACAAGAGTCACATAAACAACAAACAATTTTCCTAGGTTCAAAGTTATGAACACAAATATAAGTGCATGAGTTGCTGCCTATAAAATATGCATGTAGTTTCAAATTTATCTTTGATATACAAACCAAGATCCTACTTTTTGCTGTTTCAATAATCATAAGTTTTGGACCAACCTATATAGATTAAAAAAGAAGAAAAGATTCAGAGAAAAATGCACTAGAGAATAAGCAGGAAGATAGTTGACATAATAGAAATCGCTGACAGGACTGAGAGCCCCAGAAAAAGAGAAGGAAAACAGCAATGTCACTGCTTCCAGATAATTCTTACTCTATAAAAACAGCAGAAGACAGGAGGAGTGTATAAAAGCACCGGAATGCATGTTATATAAGCCAGCTGACTAGCAGGAACAGAACCCTGGTGACATAAGGCATGAGGATCTGCACTTTAAGAGCGGAATTCAGATGACACCACAGCAGGTGGTCTGTAACAGCACACTTTGAAAAATATGAATGATGGGATGTTGTGGTCTGGGAGAGTTAAAAAGATAATAGCAAATTGTCTCCAGGAGTTCTGAGCCATATAACTAGCTCCACTCGTTCCCCTCCACAGCAATCCAGGGAAGGCAAGGCTCCAGGCAAAGCTCACTGAGGCTGATTCAGTTCCCAGCCCTGGGAAGGCCAAGGCGGGAGGCGGTTAGCTCACACTCCTCCCCAAGGAGGCAGGGAGCAAACATTATGTAATCACCGCCCAGGCTCGGAGACAGAGAGATCCCAAGTTCTCTTGGCAATGTCTCTCACCAAGTAGGTTTTTTGCTTTGCTTTTTGAGAGACTGTTCATAACACAATTAATGTAGTGAAAAAAAAAAAAAACCCACTACAGAAGATTCATCTTTTTCAGCTTAGGTGGAAACAAATATTTTTCTATGTACCAATTCATCTGTGGGGTCTGTGTGGTTACAAGGAAGGCTCTGGCCCCGGCCGGCTCAGTCCCACTGACTTTTCATTAAACATGGGAATCTGAGAACATAAACAAAAAGCAAAGCTCAAAACCTTCGACTAGGAGCTCACCTTTTACAATTGCTGCGACCACGAAATTTGAATATGGTGAACCTGTGAGACATTCTGAGAATCTGAAAATAGGGTCACCACTTCAGGAATGACAACTGTCAAGCTAGCTTTAAAGCAGCTCAGGAAAAGCAATTATGCTTGCCCAGAGTTTCCAACCTCCTTCACCACAGTGGAACAGAGCGGAGCTGTCTGGAGTGACATCATCCAATGCTTTTCTCTTCCTTTTTATAAAACATGGGAGGAGGTATATTTATGTAGAAGATTTTTTAAAATATACAGAGCAGCATTGAGAGCGTATCTGTATACCTGAGGTGGCTGTAATCCAGTACTTGACAAGCTACCTGAGGTATAGTGAATATATTTAAAGAGCTAAAACGATTTGCTACTAGATCTGCACATTCCACAACACTTTCTTTTAAACACCAAGACTTTGCAGTGGGCTCCAGAAAACAATACCAATCCCAAACCCCAAACCTTTAATCCTTTTAGGGAATCGTTTACTGTTCCCATTCCGAGGCAAGGCACTCACAAACACCAACCCCTGCCTATTCCGCAGGCAAGTCCAGATTAAAAATGCAATTAAAAAAAATTTTTATAACAACGGCCTACTTTCCAGGAGTAATTTTCATTATACCACTGAAAAGCCCATTATTACTCAGACCTGGCCCACAAGTGCTTACATTTTGAAAAACAAATTTGCATAGGTCCCCAAAGTTTTTCAAACAAGCTAAGCTACCTAACTTCTACAGTTAATTTCTAGAGGACTGAATGCAGCCTAGAGACTATCTGGCAAAAAGGGGGAACTTTCTGAGGTAATTCCACTCCATTTAAACGAATATTCTTGCAAGCCACTAAAAGTTAACGCAAGAGTGCCTACACGCAGGGCCAAAGGGAAATGTTGTAAAATGAAGAATTTTTATGAGGGACCCGAGGGCAAATTTCTCCGATTTCACTTAGCATTAAAGAGCAGTCACCAAGACGATTTTAAAGCCAACTGTTAGATTTACCCTCCCATCCACCCAATTCCTGACCTTCACCGGGAATACTGCTTTAATTGTGAGATAAACAGCTAGCACCTACTCGGAGCAGGATGTCACCCCGTTCCCTTCTCGGGACCCCCACGGTCCAGGACCTCAGCGTCGTGGAAAGAAAAAAAAAGGAGGTAAAAGAAGAAAACCAAAACGCTCACAGCGGCTGGACTTAGTCCAAGTGCTGCTCGGCTGAAACGAAAGTAGCAAACAACATGGATTTAGGCTTGCAGTGATGTCAGCCATTTTAGGCACATTATTTATACTGGGAAGGGAAGTGGTTTCTTTTTGTTGTTGTTTTGGTTTGGTTTTTTTGGTGGTTGCTTTGCTGTCTCCACCGGGGCTCAGGCGGAAGCGACCAAGCAAGCCCCGGCCACAACGCACGTTCCCGGGCTGCACAAACCAGAGCATGAGCGCAGTCCTCGGGTCCTCCTTCCCCGGGCCTGGCGGGCGCCGCTTGCCCGCACACGCACTTCCCTCACAAAGGAGGACGAGCGGCGCTCGCTCTCCCCGGAGCCTCTCCCGCCGGGGCCCCGTCACCCACACTCCCTCCCCTGGACTCGGACCTTGCAGTCCACCGCGACGGCGTCGGGGGGTATGATGAGAGCCTCCTCGCCGCTCTTGGCATCGTCTTTCTTGGCCTCCTTCTGGGCCAGAGCCGAGTTGAACGTCACCTTCACCATGGCGTGGCCTGAGGCGCCCTCGGAGGGGGGCGGCGGCGGTGGCGGGCTGGAGGCGCGGGCTACGGGCTCCCGGCTACGGCAGCAGCCTCCTCGGCCGGGCTCCGGGCGAGGCTCAGCGGCGGCAGGACGGAAGCCCTGGGAGCTCGACAGCAGCTGAGGTGGCTACTGCGGCACGGCTCCGGCAGCCCCCAGCTCCGGCGCGAGGGCGGAGACGGCTCGCGCACCAGCCCGGGGCAGGGGGCGGGGCCTCGGGGAGGGGCGGGACTGGCCGGGCCGGGGCGGGGCGAGACGCTTCCTGGGACCCCGAGGCCCGGGCTCGGGGGCGGGGCCTCGGGAGGGGCGGGACTGGCCGGGCCGGGGCGGGGCGGGGCGAGACGCTTCCTGGGGCCCCGAGGCCGGGCTACCAGAGAGGGAGCCCGGTGACTGGGGGCTGGTTGGCTTGGCTCGGGGCCGCCCCTTGTCTTGGGACTGCTTGGCTGTTCTTGTTACGCACTCGCTTCTGGCCCACTTGCCTCTGGACCCAGTGTTGGGGGTGTCTAATTGGGGCTAAGTTGGCGGGGTTCGCCGCGTACGGCGGATTCACCTCGGGGAACACTTCAGGCCGTCTGTTTCCGGACCGCCGCCCCCTTCGCAGGCCTCCTCGGGAACAGGGAGCTTTTGTGCATCCCACAGCTCCCTCCGCTCACTGGAGCACGGAAATACTTCACCCTCTCTATCCCTGGAGATCTAACCGTGCCTGCCGCGGACCTCACCCAAGTGTGGGCCTCATTCAGGCTTCTCCTTGCCTCGTCTGTCTGCCCGGCGTAATCCCGCAGCCTTTCACAGGAAGACTTCGAGTTTCAAAGCACACTGTTAAAACAACATATTCCACTCCTGTATAGGCTTGGAAAAAACCTTGGAGAGAGAGAAAACCAACCTCATGCACACTGTGATGCAAGGCAAAACCAACACTCGGTGAGGAGTTCTTTTTCTGCAAAGTGAAAACCCCTTGCTTTTTCCTGTACTGAAGAGGTGTCAGCGAAAGCAAGAGCAGATACTGGCCCACACGGCTTGGGGTTCTGTGACAGGCAACAGATGGCCTCTTGGACAAAGGGTTAGTCTTGTACTCCCTCCCCCGCCCCCCGGCCTGGTTCAGCCACAGTGTGGGTGTGCTCCAGAATGTTCCAACTGTGTCAACTTTACCCTGGGTCAACCCCAAGAGAAAAGTAGGCTGAGTTTGAGGTTCTTGGGGCTGTGCTTGAGAAAGGAGTTAGGTACCGTGGAGTCTCTGTAGAATGTCAGATCACAAATCTCTAAGAAATAGCCCAGGTTTCCGGAATCTTTCAGAACACTTATATCAGGAATATCAGGGACTGAGAGAGAATCCCCAGACCAGAGTTTGGGTTGAATTGATTATTCTGAAATTCTAGTCAAAGTGTTCAGCAGGGTATGGGAAAGCTGGGGTTCTGGCTCCTTTGAGTTTTAAACAAGCTAGTCATGTGACTTACAGTAACTTGTTTGGATTCCCTTTGTTTCCTTTCTGCAGGCTTCAACTCTGAGTTGACCCTGTGAACTGACATTTGGTAGTAAAAAAGGAATTCAGTTTCTCAAAGTTAAATGTTGCTGCCCATCTCTCTCTTCCCAGGTTTCCTGGGACATTACAATCCACGCTTAAGGAATCCTGGAAGCAAGATCCCATGACAATCCTCATATACATCTGTCAAAAGGTAAAATTACAAATTGGCTTCAGGATTTTAGCTCTATTTTCAATTTTGTGGTCAAGTACTGTGTGATTCGCTTCATTTCAGAGAACAGAAAAGTATCCCAATGAAATCACAATGAGCCCAGCAGCAGACGTTGCTTTTAAAGACAGAAAAGAATTAAAGAAAGCAGAAACAAAACTGAAAAGTGAAATGATCATTTTAAAATCACTTCTCCTTTTGAGACTAGAACAGAGACAGAACAATAGAAATATAACTGCTTACTATCAAATTACCTTTTCATCTGCAAAGATGAGGGCAGAAGGAACTCTATTGTCATGCCAATTGAAACTGGCTTGTTGGGAAATTTGTATCATTGTACACCTGGTTTCTCAGGTCAAATAGTTCTGTTTCTGCTTGGTATTGTAGAAGTTTAGCAGGAGTGACTCCATTTTAACTTTTACACTGGGTCTGTTGGAGCCCAGTGTAGGCGCTGAATCCAAAACATTGGTCTCCTGTAATCTTATTTAATGGTCCCTTAGTTCTTTCTATGTTACACTGAAATAGTGGGAAATACTCAAAATACCCATTTTGCAGTCAATAGATATGGAGAAAAGAAAAAAATTTTGCCCTGAACAACAGTGTGAGAGGAGTTAGACTGGGTAGTAGGCAGGATAGGATATTCTGGGTCCCCAAGTCATTTTCCCTCAAATATAAAGAGTATTTTCCCCACCGGTCTTGGATTCACCAGAGCAAGTCTCTCCTGAGACAAGTGCGTATCTTATCAGGAATGCTTCCCCAAGAGACAAGGGCGACATTAACATTCCTATTCCCCTCCTGAAGGATCAGATCCATTCTGTCTCCCGCGGCCAATGCCAAGCGGGAGGGCTTCTCACTGGCCTCTTTATCATTAGAAAGGGACCAAGGAAGTTGGCCAGTGACACCTTTCTGGCCTTTTGTCCCAAGGCCAGGTACCATGGAAACCAGGAATTTTCTTTGTTTATGGAGAAACATCTTTGAGGGAAACCTTTAAAAGATGCTTTCCTCACCATTAATACTGGTCTTTTTTTACTTTTCCTCCTGCCACCATGGCAGAGCACTAGGGTTTTTTTTCTTGTTTTTCCTCCTGCCACTATGGCAGAGGACTGGGGTCTCTTTTTTCCATTTTTCCTCCTGCCACTATGGCAGGGGGTAAGGGTCCTTTCTATCTCAAAGCCCCCTCCTGTCACTAGGACAGGAGTCTCCTTTCTCAACTTTTCTAATAAATCTTGTTTTAAAACTAAACTGTGTCCACACGAAAATTTTTTTTTCCTGCGAGACAAGAATTGAGGTTGCTGCAATGAGAGAGGAATTAGAGTGGGTAGTAGGCAGTTAGGGTATTCTGGGTCCCTCAGTAAAAGAGAATTTCCCCACCATGTCTTAGATTCACAAGAGCATGGCTCTTCCAAGGGACAGGGGTGCTATTAGCTTATCAATTCCCCACCTGAAGTATTGGCCATCACCTCTGGCCATCGTGGGAGGGCCTCAGGCTGATCTCTTTATCATTGAAAGGAGAGCAGGAAGAAGTAATACACATCTGCCTAAGGCCTGGAATGTGCTATGTCTGGCACCTCTGTGGCCTTTTGTCCCAAGGCCAGGTACCATGGAAACCAGGAATTTTCTTTGTTCATGGAGAAACATCTTTGAGGGAAACCTTTAAAAGGTGCATTCCCCACCATTGATACGGGTTCTTATGTTCCTGCCACTATGGCAGAGCACTGGGGTCCTTTTCCTCCTGCCACTATGGCAGGGAGTAAGGGTCCTTTCTATCTCAAAACCCCCTCCCGTCGCTAGGATGGGAGTCTTCTCAGCTTTTCTAATAAATCTTGCGTTAAAACTAAACTGTGTCCGCATGAAAATTCTTCTTTCCTGCGAGACAAGAATTTGAGTTTGCTGCCATACTCGGAGTCAAAAATCCTGCAACAACACTAGTAAAAGATTGGGAAACTGAGGCAAAGAACAAATGAAGTTGACAGATTGAGAAATCCTGCCCTGCTCCAGGAGTTTTGTTTTAAAAGATGTGTGCATAAAAGACCATTCAGTATTTGTGTACTAGCAACAAACAACAGTTCAAAATCAACTGGCAGCAAACAGTCTGGGAAAAGTCTCTGGGTTTGTTGCACTGTTTTTATTCTGGGGTGTCTCCAGAACTGTGTAGTGCACAACGACACAAGGATAATAAAGAAGCTGGCCCAAGACCAAACATAGCAACTGGAGTCTCGTGATTTATAAGAGGTTGCTGCTGACCCTGGAAACTAAGATGCGGGGGAGGAGCAGAGTGATGAGTCAACAGAAGAAAGTTGAAAACATAATCATAAGTTACCATGAAGTACTGAACTTAAAGGGAGTCCTTAGGAGAGCTTTGTTTTCCCTTTTCACGTTGGTTTTGAGGCAGCCAGAGCCATGGGTTTTACTAACTTTGCATGTCTCTGGAATCAAGTTTGTATTTGCACTTAACTGGTGAGGAGAATAAAATAGAATCAAGAAACTAAATGCGACACTTTGTTCCTTTAAATTTCGTTTAAGCTTGGACTTTTCCCTTTTGGTAGGTTCCTTATATTTCCACACCCTCTGTTCTTCCTCAGGAAAGCATTTCCTTCTTATTCCTGGAATTTCTTATGGTTTCCCAAGATGAATGGAAAATCGTTTTTTTTTTTTCCTTTTGCAAATACCAGGCTGTTGGTGAAACAACATATCTGAATATGTCCTTTGAAATGTGCTGCTGACACCTCCTAGCCTTACGGAACCTGTGGCTTTAACTGGGCGTCTGTGCTTTGTCTCAGCTTTCCTGAAAGAAATGTTTCTTTTAGGTGAGAGGTGAAGGCTTCTACCTCTCTGGAGACGTAGCCCTGCCTTTCTGTCTTCATGGCACTGGATATCCTTCATTGTTTCTCACTTTCTTGCTGCTAAGTTGATATTTCTCCTCAACTTAATTTAAAATAATTCATTTTTTATTCCAGTAGCAGGCTATTTGATTTTTTTTTTTTTTTTAGAGTCTTGTGCTGTACTACCCAAAGCCCTTTGGGAATTATCTTGACAATAATTTTACTGATTGTGGCATTTAGAATTTTTGCTTTGTTTTGTTTGATCATGAAAAGACTGAGTATGCTCCTTACTGAGTGTTTTACCTTTCTGGTTTCCATCTCTTGGTTTTCCTCCTCAAAAGCGTTGCTTTCTAAGCATATACATGTTTAGAGTATGTTTCTTCATACATAGGGGAAAATACAGAAAATATTAGAAACATAAACCACAAAAAGTAAAATTGAATGCGAGGATGAGCAACTGATTGGGAGAAAATATTTGTTGGAGGGCCCAGCGGCGTGGCCTAGCGGCTAAAGTCCTCGCCTTGAACCCGCCAGGATCCCATATGGGCGCCGGTTCTATCCCGGCAGCTCCACTTCCCATCCAGCTCCCTGCTTGTGGCCTGGGAAAGCAGTCGAGGACGGCCCAAAGCTTTGGGACCTGCACCCATGTGGGATACCAGGAAGAA